GGCACCTTTCCTCATCCCCACAGGGAGTCCCTATAGACTCAGACCACCATTGTTTTACCAGTGTCAAGCTGTGTTCTGAACTTTCAGTTACTTTTCCTCTAAGTTTGTAGAGAAACATGGTCAGTACTTCTTCCACATGAGATATGAAGCAAGGTATTTCCCCTCATAGTTTTATAAAGATATACAAAATGCAGGTAATTAGATTCCTTAAGAGAGAGTTTTTCCCAAGTGATTGATGAATGACTCCCTTTTATTCAATGTGTAAATGAATATTTTCCTTTGGAACTCCAAATGCCTCTCTGCTAAACAACTTTTACATGTACAAGTGCCATATTTTGTCATTTCAAGATTTCACTTATAAACAGTTAATATCTTGGAAATTGAAATGTGTAGCAGATTACATATTTGAAAGAATGGCCATAGGGGTACATCTCATTCATGATTATGTCTTACCAAGGACCTGATGTCTGCTCTTCAAGGGTTGAGATCTAATTCCTTTTCTTGAAAACTGTGGTAATTTGCAATCACCTTGACCAACAGAGCAGTTTGGAAGAGATGATTTGTGACTATTGATTCTAGGGCACAGAAGAGCCATGTGATTCATACTTGCTTTGTTGGAAACCTGGTCACATGCTGTGAGCAAACTTGGGCTGAGAGGTAAAGACCAATATTTTAAAAAATAATTGGGTTTGTTATTTTCACCCAACACTTTTGAATGCCAGGTTTTCTTCCTTGCTTAAAATTCCATCTTTATCATACAATGTATTGCCTGTCTTGCCTGGCTATATAACTAAAGATTTGTTAATTATTCTGTTGTTCCTAACATGTTTAATATTCATGACATGTTCTATTCCTTTTAACAGCTTTTGATGATTACCTGCAGTAAGTCAACATGAAAAGGAAAGAAAAAAAACTTGATATCATGGGTTGAATTTACCAATGCCTTACACTTGTAAGTTCTACCACACAATCAAATGAATACAGAGATGCAGATGCAAAGAGGAAGAGGAATGGGGAAGAGAGAGGGATGAAGAGAGACAAAGGGGTGGGGGGGAGATTGACTTTATTTTAAAAAAAAGTTTCAAAATGCTTATTTGTTCAAGTTACCTTGCTACACAGACTTCTGCTATGTGCTCTCTTGAATTTAATTCAAACTCTGATCACTCTTATTATTTTTTAACTGGGTGCATTAATATAATATGACCATTCTTCAGAATCAGATGGGAACTTTTCCAAGGTAGATGAATTTAGTTAATGTATTTTAGGAACTAAGAGACAGAATTCAGTAAACAAGACATGTTTGCTACTATAATTGTCTTCCAATTTCATTATCCTATGAGGAAATTGAGTCTAGCTATTGATCACCCAGTGAGTTACCAAAACAAACTTCTCTACAGAACAGAAAAGTTTCTTGTTCCCTTTTGTAAATAGACTAAATAAAAATCAACTTTCTGCTAAAATAAATAATAAATTTGGATTGATCATTATTTCTTTTCCTAATTCTGTTTTCTTTTTTATTTTTAATTAGTTTTTTGTTTATATATGATAGCAGAATGCATTACAATTCTTATTACACATATCGAGCACAATTTTCATATCTCTGGTTGTATACAATCTGTATTCCATCTAAATTCGGTTTATCCTCATGTTTTCCTGATGTATTCACAGAGCATTTTACAAATGTGTAGAAGAAATGCAAGTTAATTAATAATCCATTTTATCTTAGCACCCCATGTATGGAAAACCAATAAACTTAAAATAAGCAATTAATATTACACTTATGGTAACTCTGAAATAATTCTTGTGTTTGAGGGGTCAATTCTTTGTAGAAAAGGAATAGGTAATTAGAGCATTTTCACATGCATATGAAAGATATACATAGACATAGAAACTCTAGATTATGATTTCCACCCTATTTTAAGACACCTGTGGCAATTTTCTTCAGTAGTTGCATAATTGAAACTTTGTAAGTTAATGTGTTAAAATTATGATCCAAAGAAATATCATGAGATGCCTTTGGACAAATTCAAATATGCTACAAAAAAAATATAGCATATGCTTCTTATGTCATATTGTGTGTAGGTGCCTTTCAAGTCTCTGTAGACTGAACAGAAGAAAAGGAAGTTTTAAAACCCCATAAATCAGGGCTGGGGATGTGGCTCAAGCGGTAGCACGCTTGCCTGGCATGCATGCGGCCCGGGTTCGATCCTCAGCACCACATACAAACAAAATGTTGTGTCCGCCGAAAACTAAAAAATAAATATTAAAATTCCCTCTCTCTCTCTCTCTCTCCCTCTCTTAAAAAATAAATAAATAAATAAATCAGCAATGAGCAGTCAGGCTATCTGTACCACTATCTCACAACCTTGTGTCAATATTCATTTTCCCTCCTGCGAATTACTCAAGAGTTCACTAGATTTTAATATTTTGTGCCCTATGCAACATTTCAACAGTTTGAGAAAGGCTGAGAATTCTACTAAATGGAACCACACCTACAAAGTAATTTTCTGAATAATCTGATATATGTACAGATAAGAGCATACTTATATTAGCTCTGCTCTCAGGTTGTCAGGGTATTGCATCACACTTGAAAGAATCTCAAAATTGTTAATTAGGCTGAAGGGACTATGAATATGTGTTTGGTTGTATGTCTTCAAACTCTTGCTCTTCCAAGAATTATATTCACTTAAAAATAAACTTGCCATGAAAAATGAAAAATGTTCTCTGCATCAGTATTTGTAGTGTTCTAGCTACCCAGTCTGCAGTTAAGATTGGTTAAGATAATATTCCCTGCTTTATAACACTTGAGGCCTCATAAATATTCTCACATTGGAGTACAAGAGCAACAGCCTCAGTGCCTGCACCTGTGTGGTCATTCCTGGAAATCCAGACAAAAATGTTTCCATCACTGATAATCAGGAGTAGAGTGTACACTGGAAGTTACCAACAAATGAGAATCTTTGATTTTTTTTTTTCAGAAGAGAAATTTCCCTAGAGTTCACCTTAATAATTATAGAATTTCTTCCAGGAGATCTAATATGTTGGAAGAGTTGTAAATAGTCCTCATCTTGGCCACAGGGAAGAACCAAGGAAACAAATGAATGCCCATTTGTCAAGGACAGTGACTGAGGAAGAACACTGGAATTCAGCAAGGGAATAATAGCAGGAACCCTGTGAGGCACAGAGACTAGAGGTTGCAACATGGAAAGAAGATCCTGTTTCCCCAGTTGAGGGAAACTTTGGATGCCAAGAGAGATACCCAGCAAAATCCAGTGGTCCTCATTGTCACATGGACTAGTTATCCTAACTGCAGGAGATTTCAACACCCTCCATAGGATTTGAAGCAAGCTTGCTGAGCTCCTTGGGTCCCTGTGACAGATTTGCTTCACGGCAGGAACTCACACTGTGTCTTCCCCACAGAATCACCACAGCAAAAGTTGTGATGGCCTGGCAGCACCTTGACATAAGGACTCATCCTAGAGTGCAGCCTGACAGGGGCCAGTAGTCGTCACTGCATTTTCCCAACCCTGGGGCACCATACTTGTTCAACCACATTCACAAACATGGTTGCAAATTTATAAGCCCAACTATACAGGCTGTGTAACTGCAATGTTAACAACCACATCCATGCAGCACTGCACCTTGTATTTCAGAAAACATTTGGCCCAAAGCCCAAGGAGGTCTTCCTCCAAAGCAAAAAGCAAACAAACAAACAACAACAAACGTGACATGCCTGTCCTAAGTGCCTGTTCTCCCCACTTGCTCTCACAATCTTAGCTGTCACTGCAGCTTATCAAATCCACTATGAAGGGGCCCCTCCTGGGCCATGTGGGCCGGGCAGCCATTTTGGGAAGAGCTTTGTTTTGGTTGTGGGCTAGTCACCTTTGCCAGGCCAAGAACCTGGGCACGTGTCCTTAGAGGCCACGTCTTGTCCTTGGCTGTAGCCCCGCCGCTGCTTGATTCATGTGGCCTTGTTAATGATTGAGCAATGGTGGAAATGGATCTAAAATAAAAAATGACTTCTCTACCAAAGCAGTAGAAGATTCTTCATATCACCTTTCATTAGCTGAATTCATTTTTGAAGAAGATGCAAAACAAGTGAAATACAGAAAACTGAAGAGAAGAAAACCTCATTTTGGAACTTTCTCCTTGACTGTTCCTAACCCCCTCTTTCTACTTGTTGTAATTTTGTTCTGAATTTATAAATATTGAAGACCAAAGAAATAGAATATACATATAGGAGCTTTATACCAAGAAATTTGCCTTGAAAGCTGCTGTTCTGTGGAGGGAAAAGTGTATCAAGTTCCTTCTGATTTTTTTAACAAGATTTCATATATGTTTAGAGTTTAAAGTTTAAGACAAATATAAATACATATCTGCACACTATTATTAGCAGTTGTGTAAGAATAATGACATTTATGTTTTAAGGGCTTTGTCCTGTGGTTTTTTGCCACTGGAGTTGACTACTCAGAAGATCTTTTATAGTGCTTTAATATTATATTTTTTTGTCTATCACCTTGATGACATTACTTGCCCACACATGAGGCCACCTGTCTGTGTAGCTATGACCTTGTTATGAACAGTTCGCACTCACTGTGCAAATGTCCATGTATTACCTATTTAAGCAACATCATAGTGCCATTACTCAAGGAAGCTGACTGAGGTGAACATAGACCTAGCTCTTTCCCCTTACCCTCTTTTTTAAATGTAACAAGTACTTTTTATGTTCCCCTTCCCTCTTCCCCTTTCCCCTTTCCCCTTCCCCCTTTGGAAGCGAGTTAGGAACTAGGTAGTTTAGGATGATCAATTAAAGGGACTCAGAAAGTGAGCTACCCAGAGCCAGGCTTCTTTGTGCTTCATCACAAGGCGTGCTGCTGGCCAGACTGCTTAAGCATCTTTTTAACAAGACCTCGTGAGACAGCCAGCTGATAGTCTCAAGGAGTTCGGAAAACAGGACCACAGAGGTTACACTGTGGGATCCTGTCCATGAGGTTGGATGCCTCACCTTGCTGAAAAGAGACACTGGACCTAAATGGAGCAGCACGACTTTGTTCCTGCTTGGCTAAATTTCTCAACACCACAGTCAGCTAAGTCACCTACATCCACCTTTGAAAAACACAGAGAGCACCTGCCCTGAGGAGAAGGTAGATTTGGAGTGAGCTGTCACCGACACAATTCCTCTGATGGCTTTTTTAACAATGGGCCCCTACGAACTACAAGAGATTCCTGGCACCAGCCCTCCCCCTTCTGCCATGATTCTGTGGACTCTGGTATCTCTAAGGGAGCATATGCTGGAATCACAGGGAAGCTATCTGGTTGGCATAGTTCTTCCCGAGGTCATGATGGCATGAACCAATGTAGTGAAGGTGGCACAGGGAACCATCGACACTGGATGGCAGTTTTCATTCCTAGAAAGGCTGTGCCTTTCAAGAAAAGCAACCTACAGAGATTAGGGAAGAAAAGAAAGAAGACAAAGTGGAAAAGTTGCAGTTTGAAGAGGAAGACTTTCCTTCTTTGAATCCAGAAGGTGGCAAAAAGAATCAGCCATGCAGACCTATTGGGACCCCTTCTGGAGTGTGGGAAAACCCACCTAGTGCCAAGCAACCCTCCAAGATGCTAGTTATCAAAAAAGTTTCCAAAGAGGATCCTGCTGCTGCCTTCTCTGCTGCATTCACCTCACCAGGATCTCACCATGCAAATGGGAACAAATCATCAACTATGGTTCCAAGTGTCTGTAAGAACTTGGTTCCTAAGCCTGCACCACCTCCTTCCAAGCCCAATGCATGGAAATTTAGCAGAATGGAACACAAATCAGGACCCCTTTCCTCTAGCCAGGAGTCATCATTTATCAATCCAATTTCTGTTACCAAACCAGTGGTACTGGCTGGTGGCGCAGTTCTCAGCTCTCCCAAAGAGAGTCCCTCCAGCATTAACCCTCCAATTAAGATCAGCTCCTCTCATCTGACCAAGTTGACCCACCGAACCACTGACAGGAAGAGTGAATTCCTGAAGACTCTGAAGGATGAGCGAAATGGAGACTTTGCAGAGAACAGAGACTATGACAAGCTGGAGGATTTGGAGGACAACAGCACACCTGAACCAAAGGAAAATGGGGAGGAAGGCTGTCTTCAGAATGGTCTTTCTCTCTCTGTAGTAGAAGAAGGGGGGGGGGTCCTTTCACACTCTCTGGAAGCAGAGCATAGGTTATTGAAATCAATGGGATGGCAAGAATATCCTGAAAATGATGAGAATTGCCTTCCTCTCACAGAGGATGAGCTAAAAGAGTTCCACATGAAGACAGAGCAGCTGAGAAGAAATGGCTTCGGAAAGAATGGCTTCTTGCAGAGCCGCTGTTCCAGCCTATTCTCCCCTTGGAGAAGCACTTGTAAAGCAGAGTTTGAGGACTCAGACACAGAAACGAGTAGCAGTGAAACATCAGATGACAATGCCTGGAAGAAGGCATATAAATGTTCACAGTTAATCTGACTCAGTAAACTCAGCTTGTGTGTTCAGGGAATATACAAAAGAAATTGTTCTTTTCCTTTTTTATGTTGTTGAATATTTCATGCACAAGGGAAATAATCATATCCCAAAGAAAGAGCAGTTGGCTTGTTTAGCTTTTATTTTTGTTCTTCCCTGTTATCTGCTTAATAGAAGTTTGTGTGGTGGGAAAGATATTTTAAATACACACACACGTACATATGGGGCGATACACAGGTGAGAGCTGGCAGTGCAGAGATGCAGAGAGGAGGAGACACTGGTCTGCAGCAACAGTTTCTACTACCAGCCCTTAGGGCACTCACCTCTGTGCTCAAGCAATCATTGTCAATGACAAAGTGACTATTGAAGTTATAATTGTATTAAATTAATGATAATAATTTGGATATTTTATTTTATTTTTGGCTGCTCGGGTAACTTTAGCCCTTAACAAAGCATATGTGGTTTTTTGTTTGTTTGTTTTTGTTTTCTTTTTTCCTTTTTGTGTACAGCTGTAAAATATTTGGATATAGGAAATGTGTTATTCTTGCAGCCTTGATATTCAGGGTGGATTGTAAAATATAAATTTTTTGAGATCTCAAAGATTAAGATTATTTTGATAATATTATTTACAGATTTAAAAGATGTGGTTATCACAAGTCTGTTGAGGGTAAAAACTACTGCATAAAATAATTAACTTGGAATAAATATTTTGTATCAGTTTTTAAAAAATCCACTATGAAGGACTTGAGGACATTCTACTTTCTGACTCTTGAATCTGTTTTTATGGCTGGTGCCTCCAGAGTCCACCAACATCATTGGCACTTACCTCTGGGTAGTCTATGCATAAATTCCTCAGATAATGTCCTAGCATCACAGCTACTGACACCGGGGGCCTTATTGCTCTTAGAGCTCATCTGAGTGGAGTCTCAGGACACACTCTCCAGGGAAAGCATCCTCATTATCTGAATGAGATTAGTCAATGAATACATATAAATCATGAGACAGAATCAGGCAGTTTTTTAAAGTCCCTCTCCAAAGTCTTCTTTAGCCAACCTGTCTGAAGTCAAAGAGCATTCAAAAGGCAAGGAAATAATAATAATAATACCCAGTAGTCAAATATAAGGAAGTCTGCTTCAGAATAATATTGGCTTTCTCAACAGAAATATTAGGAATCAGAAAAGAATGGGATATTTTTAAATCCTGAAAAAAAATTGCCAACCAAATATATAATAGCCAGCAAAACTATCCTTAGAAATCTAAGGTTCAATAAATTCTTACACAGACTAAAGAAAGCTGAGGGGATTGAGTATCAATGGACTGATCCTGTAAGAAGTACCTAAGACAACCTACATCTCCATCCAAAGAATTGTAACTACCATCATGAAAACAGGCAAAGGAATTAATCTCACAGATAAAGCAATTTCACTCATAAAAGAGAGAAAAGAATCAGCCAATCCCCATAAAACAAATACCAAATGTTTTCTCTGATATAAGGAGGTTGACTCATAGTGGGATTGGGAGGGAGAGCTTGAGAGGAATAGATGAATTCTAGATAGGAAAGAGAGGCTAGGCATGTAGCTAAGAGGTAAAGTGCCCCTGGGATCAATCATCATCATCCTCAACACCCCCTAGTGGAGCAAACTGTTCAGTGGAATGCTAAAGACAGGTCAAATGGAAAAAAAATATCAAGTATAAACATTGCCTCAAGGAATTTCACACTGTTTAATACAGATAAAGACTAATGTTTAAAAAAATGAAAAGTAGTCCCATGTTAATGGGAAACAAAAGGAAACAGGGCTAACTCTAGTTATATCAGTGAAATAGATATCAACTCAAAATCTACAGAGATAGACAAAGGTGAACTTTATATAAGGATATGAAATGAATTCAACATGAAAATGTAGCAATTGATGAGCATCCAGACACATTAAACAAATGTGTTTCAGTCAAAAGTGATAAACAGACATAACAACAATAAAGATCGGAATCTCTAACACCTTACTTTCAACAATGGATAAATAGATCATTTAGAAAGAATAAAAATAAAAGAGAGCAGTCAATCTATACTACAGATAACATAAATTTTGGAGACACCTAGGGAACATTTCATCTAATACCTACAAAAACTTATGTATCTCATTAACAAATAACACATTTCCAATGGTAGCACACACATATGCCACCAAACAATTCTCAATAAATATGTAAGTTTTAAAAATCACTTCATATATTCTCTATGACTTACTATGGACACCTCTAGAAATAAACAACTCAATAAACAATGGCAAGTATACAAAAGCATGGAAATTGAATAACATTTTCAAGAATGTCCAATGGGGTGGTCCTGGGGGTTGTAACTCAGCATAGAGTGCTTGCCTACCACGTGTGAGGTGCTGGGTTCAATTCTCAGGTGTATATATATATATATATATATATATATATATATGCAGAAGGATCTCAAGTTGGAGGCCAGACTCTGCAACTTAGGAAGACTCTGTCTCAAAACAAAAGATAGGAGGCTAGGCATGTAGCTAAGAGGTAAAGTGCTCCTGGGCTCAATCATCATCATCCTCAACACCCCAATATATATATAAAGATTGGAATCTCTAACACCATTTTATATATATATATATATATATATATATATATATATAGAGAGAGAGAGAGAGAGAGAGAGAGAGAGAGAGAGAGAAGAATATCCAATGGCTCACTGAAGAAATCCAAAGGGGAATAAAAAAATGATTGTGTAGATAAATAAAGGGAAAGACTGTGTAGACAAATAAAAAACTGTGGGATATAGGAAAAACTGTATGAAGATGGTAGTTTATAGCAATAAATTTATTTACCAAAGCAGAAACAATGCAAATAAACTGCCTATAAATGATTCACAAGGTCCTATTCAAACAAAAAACAAATAAATCACAAATGGAAAAAGATAAAACTAGAAATCATAAAGTTGAGGCTAAAATATATATAAAAGATTCTGGAAATCAAGAGTTATTTCTTTGAAAGACAAAGAAAACATAAAAACCTTTAGTAGACTAAGATAAAAGAAACTTAAATAAAGAAAACTAGAGGTAAAAAAGGAGATATTATCACTAATATCACAGAAATACAAAGGTACATGAGAAACTGCTATAAAGAATTACAGAGTACACTACTGGAAACCTAGAAGAAATCGATGAGTTCCTGGACACATATAACCTACCATATTTAATCAAATTCATGGCTTAATTTAAATGGAATCAATCAAAATAGACCATTAATGCCTAATGAGATTAAATCAGTAATTAAAAGTCCCCCATCAAAAAAATGCTTTACTACAGAATTCTATAAAGCATGTAAAGAAGAACCAAGTCCATATTTCTCTAAATATTTCATAACTTGAGAAAAGAAGGAAACTTACCAACGCATCCTATGAGGACAGCATTATTCTGATAGCAAAATCAGGCAAGCATGCAACAAAGAAAAGTACAGAGAAATAAACAGGATGAATACAGAGGCAAAGATCCTCAACAACCCACTGGCAAAAAGCTCCATCACCATATCAAAACTTACGCACATCTTCAAGTGGTAAGTTTTACAGGGATGTGAGGATGGTTCAGCATATAAAGTCAGTAAACATAACACATCCCATCAACTGAAAAAAAGCAAAATGGTATGATCATCTCAAGAGACTCAAAAGAGCAACTGATCAGACTCATCATATCTTCCTGATAAAAACACTGAATAAACTGGTCCTAGAAGAATCTTTACACTATAAATGATATGCAAGACTAACCCATCACCAGAAAAATGCAGGATACAGCATGTCTACTTTTATGAATGTTATTCAACCTACTAAGAGAGAGAGTAGCCAGAACAATTAGGCAACAGAGAGAAATACAGGGCACTGGAATTGAAAAGGAGGAAGTCCAGATATTTCTGTCTGCAGATGACATAATTTTATAGAGAGGAAAACATAGACTCCTACAAAAAAACTCTGGCATACCTCTTTTTTGTTGTTTTTTAGATTTTATTGGTTCTTTTCAGTTATACATGACGTGTATGTCCAGTAGAGTCCGTTTTGATATAATTATAAAAGCATGAAATATATCTTGTTCTAGTTCAGCTCACAGAACCTCTCCTTCCCTTCTTGCCTTCCACCCACTACTCCCTTCCTGCTACTGATCTTTTTTGATTTACTTATTTGCCATCTCTTGCATTAGAAAAAGACCTCTACTTCCACTCCTGACTTGTTCAGGTTTCATTTGTTCTTTGACTCTGATTTCAAACAATAAAAAACAAACTAAAGGGATTTTCATTAGAAAACAATTCATGTTCTCTCCATCTCTCAGGAAGCTATAGCAAACCAGGTCTGAAAACTGACCTCCACAGATTTTTCCCCCTAATTTTGGATGGGGGAAGAGCAGAAAAAAATTGACTTTTAATAAAATAGGAGCATGTAAAATTTCAGAATTTCCCATGGTATTCTCTATAGCTGATATTTCTCTATTAGTATATTCTATCACTGAGGGTGAAGGAGTCAAGGATAATGGATTTCCAGTTTGGACATACAGGACAAAATGAAAATTAGTTCCATATTAGACATATTTAGTTCATGATGCCTATAGGATATTGAATACCTCTTTTAATACTCAGATTTTTTTGTTGCTGTGATCAAAAGACCCAATGAGAACAATTTAGAGAATAAAAGTTTATTTTGGATCAGAGGTTCAGAGGTTCAGTCCATGGTTGTTCAACTCCATAACTCTGGAGTTTTTGCAACCCAGGGACAAAATATAAACCCTTAAGGCACACCTCTAGTGACCTACTTATTGCAGTCACACCCAGACTGCCTAGAATTACTACCGAGTTCATTCAGATCAGTAGGTTAATCCACTGGTTAGTTTACAGCTCTCATAATCTAGTCATTTCACATTTGTGCATTCTTGCATTTTCTCACACATAACTTTAAGAAGATACCTTATATATAAGCCATAACAATGACAAGTTCAGTACACGTGCAGAAAACAATATTGACACTTAAAACATATAGCAATAAAGAACAATACTGATTTTTCTATATCAATGATAAATTTGCTGAAGAAGTAAGCAAGAAGGCAATTCCATTGGCAGTAGCTACAAACAATAAATATCAAGAAAATTTTATGTCACCAAGGAAGTGAAGATTCTGTACAATGAAAACTGTAGGGCATTGGTAAAAGATATTCAATAGGACTTCCCAAAATGATAAACATGCCATGTTTACAGACTGGAAAAATTAATGTTATTAAGATATTCATACCACCACAGCCATCTACAGATGCAATGTAATCCCATCCCCCCAAACACCAAGGACATTCTTAACAGAATATAATAATCAAAACCCCTAAACCTCAAAAAACAGAGCAAGGAAAAGTAACTATTTTCACACACACACACACACACACACACACACACACACACTAAATAGAAATGAGAAAATAGAAACAAAACAAATATGCATATAATACATATATACTTGAACCAATCAGTAAATGTTTTAAAAAAATGAAAAATCTTGGTGAAAGTTAAGGAGTCATTTCCTTTATGGTTGACAAAATAATCAATGAGAATATATATTCATCATCTGTGCCCAACTAACTTTTTGTTTTGTTTCTCGAGGTATGGGAGTATAAGCCACAGGCTGTCATTCCTTATATTTACTAGGGGGTTAGCAAGGATGGTGGACTATG